CATTGGTAAATTCACTTGATAAAGCATAACGTTCAACTGTTGACGACTAAACCCACTGAAAATGAAAAGGGTTGATAGATTTGATTTAATGTTTGTGCTTAATGCTTTGAAGTATTGAACAGCCATGAAGAATGAACACTGAATGTGTCGGCATTGAGTTAATAATTGATTAAAATATGATTTCTCATTTGTTATTAGTTTTGATTTCACGCATCATCTAGAAAAATGAGTGAATGCAAAAATTCTCTATCAAAATTTGAAATAGAAAGTGTTTCAAATAATTCATCCCGTTGTTTATCAATAATTTTATCCTCTAATCCTTGCTTCTTGATTGTATTATATAATTCTTTATACATTAAAAAGTTTTTTAAATAATCTTCTGCTTCTTCTTGTGATAAATAAATAATTGGAATTTTGATTAAATGCTTTAAAGATTCAAATGTATCATCTGAAGGTGAACCTGAACGGTTGATATAAATTAACACATGTGAATGGGGGAAGTGTTAGCAATAATGATAATTTGTTTTAATATCGTTAATGTTTTACCTTTATTTTGTTTACCAATTGCTGCAGTGATTGAATTTAAGTAACATTCAGAATATGGAATTTTCATTAATTTTTCCTTAGATAGAGCATTTCTATTATCACTCAATGCTTCATTAATCATATCATCTATGTGTATTATATACTCTGCTAATTCTTCAGAATTGAAATCCATTTAATCAAAAATAAATTTATAATTTTAAACATTTCTATTCATCAATATTTCATCATATGAACTTCTATACTGTGGTGGTGTACCTGTTGGATGATATTTCAAACCTTCATCCGGTGTCCATGTCCAATACGTAGTCCTAGTAAACCAAACCTGAGGAGGATTTGTCACTTTGAACAGTAAGTGTCATTTTCACCCTGAATGATTGGATAAGCTTTCACTTGTACTGTAACTTGTGATTGAAAGTTTCTAATCCATCAAAGAATATACCCGCTCCATCACGTTGAACTGGAATAGTGCATAAGAATGAAGTTTGGTCTTTCCATGTTCTAGCTAATGGCGTGCCATTATCATCATTCAGTGGTCTAGTTAATGAGTCCTCGTATTCTTCTGTGCATTCATTCACTCCATCTAAATCAGAAGCTTGAAGCATACGTGTAAAGAATATGTCCCACTGTGGTCATCGCTTGATCGGGGAAGTTTCTGGAATCTATAGTGACCTGAAGACCTCGAAGCATTGGATTTTCTAAAACCGTTCTTTGCATTGCATTCTTCGGAAATGTTAACACAACATCTGTAACATTATGAAGAGCGTATGAGAAATCTGAGCTAATACCTTCTGGAGTGATGCAACCTCCATTTAGTGAACGAACGTCAATATGTTGAGCTGGAATCATGAATGGATCTTCCTTACTGAATAAACGTGGTATTGCTTTAACTGATTCTTCAATTAAACCGTATCCTGGTGTAATACATTTATCCTCTAAAACTTCCATCTTTGTGCATGAAATAATAACGTCATCAACTGTTGCGTCAGCAGATGTAGCGGCTAAGCTTGTAATTAATTTGGCAGGAAGTCCGATTTGTTGGAATTTGCGATCATATTTATAAACATGATTCATAATCTTTTCATAATTTTCATCAGTTATCTTTTCATAAACATAATTTTGTAAATCAGCAACTCTTAACGGGTCAACCTGACAAAATACTAAAGTATCCCTGAAAACATAATATTTAAGAATGATTTCACCAAATGATTTAGGATAATCATCGAACGCCTGAAATGCTAACAAATCATTTACCGGAATAATCATATCAAAAGTGATATCAACTTCTTCATTTGCTTTCTTGAAAACTTCTGAAGGGTCAATATATTTACCACATACTGAGTTATCATATTTTTGAACATTATTATATAACGAATGAACAAACTTTTTAACTTTCCTTTCTGATTTTGGTTTATATGTTGCAAATGCGAAAGATTCACGGGCGCAATCCATTTGAAGATAACCAGCATCACCTCTTTCAGTTTCTACTTCTAATTGTTTAAAGCTTTGATTTGATGATTTGTAACCAACGAATAAACGCATGCATTTAAAAGCGGCATCACATGTGAAAGCTTTATTTGAAACTAGAGTTGCTTTAACTTTGCGTTTAATATATGTGTCACCTAATTGGTTCACATCATGAGCCGGATTTGTAATTCTTAAATGAGTTTGTTTATCATCAAAATATGGAGCATCAGAGTCATAGCATGAACTTTCAAGTTCTCTATAATATCTTCTACCGTCATTCTTTGCGAATATTTCATTTATCTTTTCGAATGAATGAAACACATTTCCATTAATTGGTTTAGTGTTTGGCACTAAATAGTTAGTCGTCATTTATTAATAAATAAAAAATCAAAATTAAAAGATGAAAATGAATTTTTAATTTTAATGAAATAATCAACTATGGCTGCAGGTATATTTAAGAAACTGTGGGATAAAGTAAAAAGAGGAGCGCATAAAGTTTGGGAAACATTGAAGAAGGAGCAAATTGGATATTTAAGAATAAAGAAGCAATTAGTGACGTGCTGAATCAATAACACCAAAAGCTGCCCCAATAAGAGAAATTTTAAATAAAGGAGAAAAAGTTTATCAAAGACTACAACCGATACTAAGATAAAAATAATATTTATTTTTTCCACTATCTACCTCCTATTTTATTAAGTATTCCTTCAGCAATTCCACCAATTGCGTTACCTGCTTGTGCTCCCATCGCCGGATTACCTGCTTTAGTACCTAATACTCCACCTATGATAGTTCCTGCCGTTTTCGCTACTGGTGCCAAAAAGTTTGCAACAGGTTTAATAACCTTTTTATAAACCCAACCGCAGCTTTCTTAATTCCATCCCATAATTTTTTAAAGAATCCTGCCGCCATTTCTGATTTAATATTAATTAAAAAATATATTTCATCACTTATATTCTAATTTTTATTTAATGATAAATGAAACCGATTTTAAAAATAAATGAAACAGAGGAGGAAGAAATAAATGAAAGTGAAATGTTCAACAAAAAATAAACGTTGTTAAACCAATTACTGAAATAAAAATTTTTTCATCTGTTGAAGAATTTAATGACTATTATGCTAATAATAAAAAATTATTTGAAGAATTGACAACATGTAAATTGAATAAAATGTTTAAAGTTGATGGATTCAAAATTTCAAAAATAAAAGGAGTGGTTAGTTTGAAATCTATTCCCCAATCAAGAATCACCTCATTAATGAAAATAGATGATTTAACAAAAAGAATAGAAATTATTGAAGAGCGAATAAATCAAATTATTGATTTCATAAATCATGACTCGTTGAGCCCGGGTCCTTAAAGCCCATCACTGAGTTCAAGGTTATATTCATCAAATATTTCATTATTAAATGCAACTTCTGCTAGTTTATTTATTTTTTCAATACGATCATTTGAAAGTCTATCGTTTAATTTTTTCTGAAGTTTTTCATTTTCTAGTTCTGAAACTTTATTTGGATGATATTTAAACTTGTTAAATTCTTTTTCCTCAGTTTTGATCATTAATTTACAAAGAACTTTTGTGGTTGGAATTCGTTTAAACCATTTATCATTAATATTTGTTATAAATTCAATATCTGGAATTAATTCCCAAATTTTTGCATTTTCAATTAATTTATTATCAAATGCAAAAGCAATGGGTTTAATATTATGTTTACCTTTATAATATAAACTTTCTACATAATCATCGAAATAAACATCTACTTGTTTAACATTTTCAAGAATTGGTGAAAGAGCATCCATTAATTGATTGACGGTTACGAATCTTGATCCACTCATTTTCATACAAATTAAAAAAATAAATTATTCAAAAATGTAAGACATGAATTTTTAAAGTTTATTTTTTATTCATGAAAATAATTATTTCTAATTTCTTTTACTCTCTCGTATATACTAGATTTAAAGAATTCAGAACTTTTACCATAATCTCCTAAATGTTTTCTTATCTTATTGGTTTTCCATTCATTATATGAAACTGTATAAACTTTATCTTTATCTTTGCATCTTTCATCACTTCCAATATATTTATATTTCAATTTTGATTTATTGGTTTCATATTCATTAACGTTTAATAATTCACAGTCTTCCTTTTTAAATAAATGTTTTATGTATTCAGGATTAAGAATTCTATAATATTGCTTCCCTTTAAATCTTTGAATATAAACAGGAACACCATCCTCTAAAATTCGATAATCTATTTTATCTGGTTTTACTTGTTGGGTCATTTATGTAAGAATAAAAAAATAAATTATTTTAAAATTAATGTTAAAAATAATGATACAAAATCGTTCAATATTGTATGAATTCTTACGTTTACAAAAAAAGTCACATAACCCATCCTATCATACTACTAAATTGGGATTTTGAATTGACATTTATTTTATTGGCAATTCATGTATTCTAATAGAGACAGATGAAAACTATTTGATTTCTCATGAGATATCCTGAACATTTGTTAATTTATTCAATTTTTATCATCAAATGGTCTCATTATCATTTGAAATCACCATACATTGATGAATTCAATATATCCTCACGTTCAGCTTTCAATACATCCTCAATAGTTTCATTGGCCTAAAAACATCCATATTCATCGCATACACAGTAGACTAAGACTCATTTTGATTTTGCTATTGCTTAGAATTTGAATGGAAACATGTAATAAGTGAAATTATGTATCACAATTTCATGAAATGCTTAATATTATATATTTGGAAGGATTGAACATCATTCACACCTAGTACTGAGGCATACTCACTCAAATTCTGATGCTAATCCATTCTCTTATTTTATATTTCACATCAAAAACCATTTCAATAAAATTGAAAGGACTACGCAAAAAGTTGCTATTATCCATAATTTTATTTTGATATATGATTGTCATACAGATGGCATATTCAAATAATCCAGAAAAAAATCTGAAATATTCATTCAAAAAATGAATCAATATGAGCAATATTTTGTCTTTCTTCCTGAGGATGTTGTTGACCAGTTAAAAAACGAGGAAAATAAAACTGTCCTTATGGGATGGATAGATAAGGTCAATAGGCATAATATTGGTCAGTCAAGATTCATTATTTTAACTAATTACGAATTATTTTTATACCAAAAGGAAAAATTCAAGAATGTTGTACAAGAGAAACTACACATTAACTGGTTTGACGTTAAATCAATCGATGTTAGCAAAGATCCAATTTTAACCATCAAATACGGCGAACCAAATGAAGAGGAAGATCAAAATAAGTATATGCTACGCCTTAAGGGTGATCTTCTTCATAGTATTCTTGAAAAATTAGATGCAATTTTTCTTGGAGGCTTTACAGAAGAAGAAAGACCCGAAATTACATACGACCCAACAATACCTAGAAAAGATGTTAACAAAAATCAACTTTTACTTAGAATGCAACTTCAATTGTGGAAAATTGGATTTCAATTATCATATGAAGCCAAAAAAGCCATTTTTGACTTCTTTTCTGCTTCACCGGATATGTTTAAACTCGATCAAATCATTCATATTGTTGATTTTCTTCCACAATTTTTATCATCACTCAGTTTCAAGCCTTCTATAACGAAAATCATTGTTCCAAACGCAACAAAGCTACACATAAACATAGATGGCAAAGAAAGACTTGCAGATCCCATTGAAGTTATTGGATCTTTTCTTAAAACAAATAAATTCGTTACTTCGCTCACATTTGAAGGCAAGATGCCTGTTACTTTCAGAAATTTCGTTAACGATTACTGTCAGACCCCATCTTTACCAATTACAGAGTTAATTTTCAAAAATTGCGAATTTCAAGTTTCTCAAAAAGATGACTTCAGCAGGATGATTTCCTATCATCCTGTTGAGACATTACACATCATCAGTTGCCTGGCAGAGAACGTTGTCATTCCTTTCTTTTCAATTTTCTCATCTCCAGGTTTTGAACAGATAAAGACCTTAACAATCGATGGATCCTACGGTGTAGATATAGAAAACCTCATGGGATCACTCGGAAATGTTGAAGAACTATCAATGGTCGATTGTAACATTGAACTTTCGGAATTTTTTGTTTCCCTTTCAAAATTGAGAGAATGTAAACTTCAGCGGTTAACATTGAATAGTAACAAGAATGTCCAAATTATTCCGGATGGTGTAGTTATCCCTAATAATCTATTAAACATAAGATTATCGAATATTGCATGGGAAGAAGACTCATTTATAAAATTATTCTCATTATTAGCGGAATCATCGACCGCTATGTATGATTTCAGTAAGGCAAGAATGTCTAAAGCATCATGGGAACGTTTCTTCATGACAGTTTCAAGGAAAAAGTCGAATCAACTAAAAGAATTTATTTGGAGCGAGAATCCAATTCACGTAAGTCTCTTTAAGTTCTTACTTAAATGTCCTGTCCTCCAAACATTAGTTATCAATGGCTGTTTGACTGATGAACCACAAGATAAAGAAAATAGATTATATTTGAAGGACATGATCAAGAAATCGAAGACATTACAAGTATTAAGTATCAGAGGAACACCAAGAAAACACCTTGGAAAGGTCGGCATCGCAACAATCCTCTCAGCCATTGCAGAATCCCAGAATTTGAGAAGATTAGGCATCAGAAAGCATCATGTTGGTCCGGTTCTGCTTCATTTCTTAGCAGAATGCCTTTCTACCAACAAATCACTTCAATTTGCTGCAATTGACGGCAATGATATCCTTGATCTTTCAGCTTACACAGAATTCTTTGATGAAATCAGATCCAAGCACAGGAAATTCGTTATTGAGTGGCCAGAGGAAGAAATGAGAGACATTCTGCAGTTCGGAGACGCTGATGAAGGTGAAATCGAAATTGCAAAACAAAAACACGCCAAAATGATGGAAGGAGACTCCAGTGTAGTCAGATTAGCTCCATCGCAACAGAAACAGCAGCAGCAACAACAAAGAAAGAGAATGAACAAATCAGAAAAAATTGTCAAACTTTCCGAACTCAGAGAAGAAGGAAATTTGGCCGACGACGAACAAACAACCAGAAGAGATTCAACTTCAGAAAAATCTCCAAGAAAATCTGATGCAAAAACCGAAAAAACTTCTAAAATTTCTGATACAAAATCAGAAAAAATACCAAGAAAATCTGACGCAAAAAGTGACAAATCTACAAAGAAACCTGACACAAAAAGTGACAAACTTTTACCAAGTAAAAGTCAAACGATACAAAAACTTAAACAAGACAAACAGGATGATGACAAAAAGAGAAGAAAATCAGAAGTTCAAATCAAAGACGATAAGAAAAGTGACAAAGACAAAAAACACGATGAAAAGAAAGAGAAACACAAGAAAGAAGAAATCGAAGAGAAGCCAATCGATAAAAAGAAGAAAGATAAAGAAGATAAAAATAAAAGAAGTAAATCATCAGATCAAAAACATAAAGATGAAATTGTAGAACAAAAAAGTGACAAAAAGAAGAATAAAAGTGACAAAGACGATAAAAGTAAAAGAAGCAAATCCACTGATCCCAAAATCAAAGAAAAGACTGATAAGAAAAACGAAAAAACCGACAAAAACAAGAAAGATAAAAGTGACAAAGAAAAACCACGTAAATCAAGTGTTGTTTATGATGAAAACGATAAAAGAAAACGTGACAAATCCGAAGATAAAAAGAAACAGAAAATTCCAGAAGAGCAGAGAAGGAAGAGCAAAACATTAGATCCAGATGATTACAGATCAGAAAAGAAAGAAGATAACAAGAGATCAAAGACACCAATTAACGAGAAGAAGAAGAGAAATTATGACAATGACGATTCTAACGAAGAAGAAAGGACAAGGTCATCATTTTATGATGACGAAAGAGAAGAAAGAAGAAGACGTGCAAAGTATATCGATGAAGATGATGACGAAGCTGCTTTCGACACATTGGAGAAGATGCAGAATAAACAGAGAAGGAAAAGAATGAAAGAAATGGAAAATGAATCAAATGAAAAACCGAAGAAGAACAAAAAGGTTTAAATTATAATTTGTTGTTTTTTGGATTTTTTTTTAAAAAAGTTATGTATTTTTATTTATGAATGCACAAGAGATAGAGCGTCAGGAAAAAACTCTTCCAACTTTTTCCAAGAAGAAGTATACAATTTAATATATATCTTTTAATTGGGAAATGATGCGAAATAAGCACAGAAGATAATTGCTTACGAATGATTATTCCTGCCTGGTGAAGCAAGAACTTGATACTTGGCATAAAAAGCATATCAGAATTAGGCATATTTAGAAAAGTATCACATATCATTTCCTATTAATAATGATGTAACTTTCCAGTTTGTCGATGCTATAATCATTGTATTGGTGCGCTATTCTTTATGTTGTCGTTGTTAGAAAAGAAATTAGAGACTATTATATAATGGTCAAAATTAAATTTTGACCAATAGAATGGGTTTTCCTACAAGTGCAAAAAATGCGCAAAAACGATTATTCTACATTCAATTTGTGCATTATTTGTGTATTTAAAAATCAATCTGTGTAAAGTAGTCAAAAATGAATGAATTTTTTCTTTTATTTTTTTTGCATACCCAACTGTTGCAATTCTTTATTAATGGATTTGATTTTTAAAAATGGCCAACTCCAAAAAATTTAAAATACGCAAAAAATATGCAAATTCAATTTCAAATAATCGTTTTTGTGCATTTTTTGCATTCTATGTAAAAACAAATAGTATTATCAAGAAATGACAGAAGATGCTGCAAACCAACTTTCAAAAAGCGGAATAAACCCTAAAGGGAAAACGATAACTCTTTTCCTTCTGAATTTTTATATTGGATAATTTAAAAAATTTCCTAATATAAATTTGGAAGAAATGCAATCACGTAGCCAACCAATAATTAAAGTTCTCTTTCTTGGAGATCCTTCAGGTAAGACGTCACTCATTAATCAGTACGTAAATCAGGAATATCCAATAAATTACAAGGCAACAATTGGATCTGATTTTTTTTCAAAAGATGTTGATATTGATGGAAAATATGTCACGTTGCAGATTTGGGATTCAGCAGGACAAGAGAATTATCAATCTATCCCAACTTTCTATAGATGGACAAACTGCTTAATTTTGGTTTATGATGTCACAAACGCAGAGTCATTTGAAAACATAAACAAATGGAAATCTCAATTTGAGTTACAACTCGGACTTTCATCAAATTCGAATTTTCCAATATTACTTCTTGGAAACAAGTGTGATCTTCAAAACAAAGCTGTTGAAGAATCAACTGCAAAAAAATACGCACAAAAGAACGGAATGATATTCCATGAAGTTTCTGCAAAAACACGCGAAGGTGTGGAATCAGCATTTCAAGAGATTGTAAGAAAATTTCTGGAAAAATCACCATCTTTTGATTTTGTTTTACCTTCGTCATATATTCAAGAAGAAAAGAACTCAGGAAAAAAATTAAAACTTTCTAAACGTCAAAAATTGCAAGTTTGTCTTGCTGGAGAAAGTACTGTTGGAAAAACTGCAATTTTAGAACGATTCACTCTAGACCTTTTTATGGATGGGTGTCAAGGAGTAATCCATGGCAACATTTGGTCACAAGCACTCACAATAAATAGTGAAAATGTTGATTATGGGTATCAAGGAACATTCGCAGACAAGATTTGGTCAAAAACACTCACAATAAATAGTGAAAAAGTTGATTTAGATATTTTGGATATGGATGGCAATGAAAAATACAGCTCACTCACTAAAATTTATTTTAAAGGTGCTTTTATAGTCATTCTTGTTTTCGATCTCACTCAAAGGAAAACATTTGAGGATCTCACATCTTGGCTAGATGATATTCGTACATTCTGCGATCCAAACTGCATTGTTCAATTAATTGGAAACAAATCAGATTTAAATCATAAGAGAGTTATCTCTTTTGAAGAAGCCAATTTTTTTGCTCAGAGAAATAATATGAACTATATGGAAGTATCAGCTAAGTCAGGTTCATATATTTCTGAAGCATTTACTTATCCTGCTACAAAAAGCATCCCAATTTGGAACATGATTAATAATAGATATCTTATCCAGAACATGATTTGTATGTTTGACTATTTTGATGATATTATACAAGATAATGACAACAAAATGAAATACCTCAAGACACTCAAGGATCAGTACGATGCACTTAACCATCGTCAGAAAGCTAATGATAATGATGATGAAGAAAACAAATATGGTGATGATATGAACAACTTTATGGACAAGATGATACAAAATCATACAATTTCACTTAAGCTCTGTAAATTTGCAAAATATATCTGCAAATATAAAGAAATTCAAGGTAAGCTCCTTGAATTGCAAAAAAGGATCAAAGATGTTGACAATAAGAACAAGGAATATTTCAAGGTACTCATGGATCAATTCGATGCTCTTGATAAAGAAAGAAACTATGATGAACCAGATGATGATTTAAATAAATTGCAAGAAAAAATACAGGATTATGAAGATATTCATGACATGTTTATTGAGTTTGACGATACTCTCAATAAACTTATCGTTGGAAATGAAGAGTTGCATAAATTCAAGGGTTTCGCCCAATCCATCAAAGAATCCATAGAAGAACTCAAGGAAGGGGACATAGATGCTAATCAAGGAAGTATGCCCAAGGAGGATAGAATCATGTTACTCTCTTACAGACTCCAGGATATTCAGAACAAGATCAGACACATTGAAGAAGCGAAGGCTATAATAATATCTGGAAAACTCGAAGAATTTGAAACAGCCATCAAATCACTAAATAGTATCATCAATGATAAGGCCGAAAATGATTTCCACAGGACTCTTGAAGAAAGGCTGAAACTTGTCGAAGAAAATGTTGATAATCAAGATAAAGGCATCAAGGCACTCCAAGACAAGATCCAAGAGATGGAAGATAAAAAGAAAGATGATGATGAACAATGTTCTTTTGTGAATAACATCAACAACAAGTTTAACGATCTTGGTAATCTTATTCTAGAAGGCGACAAGAAGAACGAAGAAGACATCAAAACTCTAAAGGAGAAACTTAGGACGTTCATTGAGAGTCAAAACAAGAATGAAAATAAAAATATCAACGAACTTAGGAATCTATTTGACCAAATGAATGAAAAGTTCAATGATCTGAAATATAAATACGAAAAACTTGAAAACAATATTCATCGTGATGAAGAAACAATTTCCGAGGTGCAATCAAGATCTGAAGATCGATTCTTGATGTTACAAGATATTAATGAAAAGATTGAACGAATTGAAAGAGGAAACACATCATTTAAAGAAGAAAACTCAAAAGTAAATGAATCACATAATATTGATATTGATGAAATGAAGAAATTATTAAACAAATTGAATAATGATATTAAAGAAACAGAAGCATCGAATTACAAAATGCATTCTTATGAATTAGAGAATACATACGCCAATACTCTGAAATCTCTTGAAGAGAGACTCAACAAATCCGAGATCAATCGTAATAGGCAAAACGAAGAAATCAATTCTATTAAAGACAAAATCCGAGATATTGAAGATAAATTTATGAATAATCTTGAACAGAACATGCAAGAAAAGTTCAATGATCTCAATAACAGAATTCAAAATATCAATAACAATAACGAGAATGATATCAAAGCTTTAAAGCAGAAGATAGAATCATTCGAGGATTTACATAAAACAAATGAATTTAATAATTATAATGTGAAGGAATTTGAAGTTATTCAAGACAAGCTAAACAATTCTGTTAAAGAACTTCAAGAGAAGGTTAATTATCTGACAAATGCTACATCCATGCTCTTCGGTAGTGATAACGATCAAGATGAATCGATAATCATAAAAATACATTATGCTGAGGATGAAATTCATGAAGACAAGATTAAATCTAATGAAAATGCACTTAATATTCTCGAAGGTAAGGTTCAATTTATAAAGGATCAAATTAGAAGTATCGAACATTCCAAGTTAACAAATGATACCAAAGACATTTAATGAGCTCATAACGTTTTAAAAAATTTCGTAAGAAATTTAATTAAAGTTCTTGGAAGATTTTGGCAATTTCATTTATTATTGATGAGCTAATTAAGTTCAGATCAATAAGTTACTATCGAATGAATAAGCAATGAAAACTATTTATCATTAACTAAATAATTGATTTTTATAATTATCAGAACTCTATCATATGTTGGTTTAAATTCAAATGATATCATTGACAACTAATAATTCAAAAATTTGAACTGAAATCAGGTGAGCATAATTCCACTTTTATGATACAATAATTTTTCTCCTCATCTCAAATATTTTTAAGGGTGAACTTACCAGTTTTTGACATTCTCTCAATTTTTGACACCTCTAATTTGTGAAATATATTTCATCACAAAATAAACAAATTTTATTTTTATTTTATATATCCATGCAATAACAAGTCATAATATTATATAATTTCATCTAGAAATCTAGAATTTGAACTTAATTTTTCAATTTTGAGAGGGCGCCAGAAAATGGTAAGTGCATCCTTAAGGGAAATTTTCTTGTTATCATAAAATAGAGCATAAAGAATAGAGTGAAAGTCAATGAGGGGAAAAAAATACCAAAGATTGTGAATGAAAAATTTCTTCCACTTTTTTCTTCCACGAACGATAAAAAAAATTAATCATTTTTCATGGATCATACAAGGTATGATGAACTGATGGCATCATATGATTGGTATAATGACATCACGAATGCGTTGTATAGGCTAAATACATTCGATGAGAGCAAAATCAATGAAATATTTGAAAAAATTAAAGTTATCAATAAGTCAATTCTTTCTGTCGAAGAAATCATTTCGATAATATCAACGGCATCATTATACAGAAATCGATACATGAAATCATACTTTTCAATTTTCAAAAAAGTTTATGATGAATATCACCCAACACAAATTCGTCCAGAAAAGATATCAAAAATCTTTGAGTATTGTATATACAAGGAATATAATATTATTTTCAACGAAGATAAGGAATGAATTTTCAAAGAGTTTGACGAACAAAACTATTCAATTGTAATTCATGAAAAGGGAAGCATTTATAGAGCAATCATGGAAGACGACATGAAATCATTTATTCAATTCACAGAGAGAGAAGATTTCGATGAAGATCAATTACTTAAGAGTGATTTTTATCCCTATTTTTACAAAGGATATTCATTAATTGAATTATGTTGTTATCATGGATCTGTTAATTGTTTCAAGCTATTAATATCAAAATTTCAATCAAAAATAACTCAAAAATGTCTCGAATTCTCATTTCTTAGTGGAAATGCAGAAATCATGAGCGAATGTTTAAAGGTTCAAACTCCAGACAAATCTACTATGGAATATGCAATTATTTCACACAATATTGACTTTGTATCATTTTTGATGGATGAATATAATATTGGCATCGATTTAGAACAGTGCTGTAAATATCATAACATTCAATCATTCTTTGTTGATTTTGATATTTCAAACGATGTCAATCGCTGCTTCCTTTTGAGTTTGTACTTTAATATTCCAGACTTATGCGAATATTTCATTTCAAAAGGTGCATCATTGAATTTAACGAATACATCAAAACAAACGGCCCTTCACATTGCTTCTATAAATAGCAGCAAAGATGTTGTCGATATTCTTCTCTCACATAATGTTGCTGTAAATTCAACAGATAGAAAAGAGAAAACGGCTCTTCATTATGCTGTTGAATATAACAAAATCTCTATAGTAGAAGTTCTTTTATCTCATGGTGCCAAGATAAGCTTAAAAGATCAAGAAGGAAATAGTGCATTTATTGAGTCGGTCACAAAAAATTATTGGGATATAACAAAATTATTTCTTTCCAGAATTCACAAATTCAATGATAAGGAAGGAGGAGAAGCGCTTCGTGCTGCTGCAAAATCAAATAGAATAGACATTGTTGAAACTATTCTTGAAAGAGGAGTGGACATTAACTCTTGGCATGATTGCACTGCCCTTCATTTAGCTTTGCTAAATAACCATTCAGAGATGGCCAAAAATCTCATTTATCGTGGGGCAGATGTCACACAAATGGTTGACATACATGAACCTTATAGAAACCAATTTTCATGTCTCCATATCGCGTTAGCTTCACACAACTTCGATGCAGCGATATTACTTATTTGGCAGGGGATTAATGTTAAGGCTTTGGACTTTTATAAGAATACTACACTTCATTATATTGCATTTAGGCACAAGGAAGACCGTTTTAACGAACATGATTCAATTGAAAAAATATACGAGATAATAAGGCTTTTAATATCCCATGGTGTAGGTATCAATGCAAGAAACTCATATGGTGAAACTCCACTTCATTTTGCCTCATACTACAACTGCATTGAAATTGCAGATTGTTTCATATCACATGGAGCAGATATCAATGCTCAGGATAATGATGAAAGAAATTCTCTCTATTTTGCCATTATAAACAATAATTTGGAAATCATTAAATTTCTTCTTTCACATGGCCTAAATATCAATTCAGTTGATTCTCAAAATAGAACATCCTTGCATTATGCATCGCAATATTCTTCGAAAGAGATAGTAGAATATCTTATCTCTCAAGGTGCTAATATCAATGCCCGAGATAGTGGCAAAAGAACTGTTCTTCACTACGCAGCTGAAGGAAATAATATCCAAATTATTGAATATTTACTTTCACTTGGCTTAGATATCAATGTTATAGATTACAGGAACGAGACACCACTTCATTTTGCAGCATCTAGAGGATTTAATAAGATGGTAGAATTTCTTATATCAAATAGAGCAAATATTAATGCATGAAATAATAGTTTACAAACAGCTCTTCATCTTGCAGCCATGGTAAAGCATGCCGAGATCAAAAAATCTTCTCATGATTCAATTCCTTCTGATTTCGATGATATGCCTACCACCCTAGAAGACTTGTTCCACATTTCTTTAGAACATAATTATTCAGGAACAATATTAACATTATTTTCACACGGTATTGATATTAATTCAAGAGATATTGAAGGAAGAACTGCTATTCATTATTTGGCTGCAGCCTCTTGCAAAAACATTTTGGAATTTCTTATTAGAAAAGGTGCAGATATTAATGCAAGAGATAATAACAATAATACAGCACTTCATTTTGGAATTTTGGAAAGCGTAGATTTCCCAGTTACAACGTCTCGCTCAGCTGTTAATACCGAAACAATAAAATTCCTTGTTTCACAAGGTATTGACATCAATGTAAGGAATAATAATGGAATAACAGCTCTTCATATTGCGATCAAAAGAAATGATAAGGAAATAATTGACTATCTTATTTCTCATGGAGCCAATGCTACTCTTAGGGATAATAATAACAAAACAGCTCTACATTATGCAGCAATAAATGAATCAAAAGGTATACTGGATTTAATCATTTCTCATGGAGTAGAAATAAATTCCAGAGATAATGACAACAAAACTGCTCTTCATTATGCTGCAGATTTTAAAAGAAAAGGAGCAATCGGATTCCTTATTTCACATGGAGCAGATATTAATGCAAAAGACAATGATAATCAAACACCTCTTTATTTATCATTGAAAAAGCAAATGAACACATTTCCATGGGACCCCTTAAAAAATCAGAATGAAGAAAGAAATTTATATGATATCATTGAATATTTTATTTCACATGGAGCTGATATAAATTCAAAAGATAAAGATGGTAAAATTGCAATTCATTTGGCATCAAGTCTTGGTATTTTGAGAATTGTAGAACTTATAGTTTCAAATGGTACCGATATCAATGCAAAAGATAATAATGGTAAAACTGCTCTCCATTACGCTGCAGAACTTAATAGCAAAGAAATCGCCGAATTTCTTATTTCTCAAGGAGCAGACATCAATATCAAAGACAACAACAATAAAACAGTTCTTCATTATGCAGTCGAAAGAAATGAGATGGAATTTATTTCATATCTGATTTCACATGGATTAGATGTGAATGCCCGGGATAATGATGATAATACAGTTCTTCATTTCGCCGTAACCGGCGATAAAGAGCCAACAAAATTTTTTGTTTCAAAATGGAACCAAAACAATAAATCTAATAAAATAGAATTCCCTGTTTCAAAATGGAACCAAAACAATAAATCTAATAAAATAGAATTCCTTATTTCAAAAGGTGTTGATAATCAATGCCAGAAATAACAAGGGTCAAACAGCACTTCATTTATCAAACCTTTATTGCAATTATGATTTAACAGGATCACTTTTATTACATGGAGCAGATATTCATTTGTGTGATAACAATGGAAGAACAGCTCTTCATTATGCTGCAGATTTCGATAATTCTGAAAAAACAGAATTCCTTATTTCACGCGGCTTAGATGTGAATGCAAAAGATAAAGATGGAATAACACCTCTTCATTTATCATCTAAAAACACAGCAGAAATTCTAATTTCACATGGTGCAGATATTCATTTGTGTGATAATAATGGAAGAAATGTTCTTCACTATGCAGTTCAACACGACCATGGATTAGCTAAATTTCTTATTTCTCAAGGCATAGATTTGAATTCTAAAGATAAAGATGGTCTCACTCCTCTTCATTTATCAATTATCAGTTATAAAAATGAGAAAGGTCTTTCAATATGGGGTAATACTCAATTTGCAATTTCAAAACTATTAATATCACATGGAGCAAATATCAATGACAAAAATAATCAAGGAAAAACAGCCCGTGATTACGCAGAATCAAGAAATCTATATGAATTTGTTAACATTTTTGACAAATGAACATTTTTAAGATTTTTTTTGTAACCAAATTTTAATGTATTAATTTTTTATTTATCCTAAATAGTCTTGATGCTTATACTCAATGTTTGATAAAAGACTGAAGTCGATTTTATTTATCTTCAATTATATAATTCTTTATGTTGTTTATACTGTATCATTAGCAAATATAACTTTTCCCGATCAAAAACATTAATTTTTTATCATAGAAAAATGAAATATAAATCATGATAGAATGCCAGAATGTGATAAGTGCAGTTTTTATTTTTATTTTTATTTTTTTGTTTTCAATGTGAAATTTTTCTTGCTATGAAGAACTTGAAATATAAAGTATTTTGAGAATTCCAGTAAAAAAAAATACCAAAGATTGTGAATGAAAAATTTCTTCCACTTTTTTTCTTCCACGAACGATAAAAAAAATTAATCATTTTTCATGAATCATACAAGGTATGATGAACTGATGACATCATTTAATGAGTACAATGACATTGTGAATACATTGTATAGACTAAATACATTCGATGAAAGCAAAATCAATGAAATATTTGAAAAAATTAAAGTTATCAATAAGTCAATTCTTTCTGTCGAAGAAATCATTTCGATAATATCAACAGCATCACTATACAGAAATCGATACATGAAATCATACTTTTCAATTTTCAAAAAAGTTTATGATGAATATCACCCAACACAAATTCGTCCAGAAAAAATAATATATGGTCTATTAAGTTTTTTTTGGAACAATGATAGGAAACAAATTTTCGAAAAGTACGAAGAACAAAATTATTCGATTAAAAATCATGAAAAAGGAACCATTTATAGAGCAATCATGGAAGACGACATGAATTCATTTATTCAATTCACGGAGAGAGAAGATTTCGATGAAGATCAATTACTTAAGAGTGATTTTTATCCCTATTTTTACAAAGGATATTCATTAATTGAATTATGTTGTTATCATGGATCTGTTAATTGTTTCAAGCTATTAATATCAAAATTTCAATCAAAAATAACTCAAAAATGTCTCGAATTCTCATTTCTTAGTGGAAATGCAGAAATCATGAGCGAATGTTTAAAGGTTCAAACTCCAAACAAATCTACTATGGAATATGCAATTATTTCACACAATATTGACTTTATATCATTTTTGATGAATGAATATAATATTGATATCGATTTAGATCAATGCTGTAAATATCATAACATTCAATAATTCTTTGTTGATTTTGACATTTCGAATGATATCAATCGCTGTTTCCTTTACAGTTTGTACTTTAATATTCCAGACTTATGTGAATACTTCATTTCAAAAGGTGCCTCATTGAATTCAATGGATAAAGAAGGACGTACAGCACTTCATTACGCTACTTTAAATTGTAGCAAAGAGATATTCGACATTCTTCTCTCACATAATGTTGCAGTAGATACAAAAGATCAAAATGGGAAAACAGCTCTTCATTATGCTGTCAAATATAACAAAATTACGGCAGCAGATGCTCTCATTTCACACGGTGCTGATATCAATTCAATTGATAAAGATGGAGACACAACATTTTTCACATCAATACGTTCAAATAATATAGAAATGCTAGATTTTCTTATTTCTCATGGAGCTAATATCAATTACATACCTGAAAAAGGAACTTCTGCTCTTATATTTTCGTTAATCTATCACAATTTTGATGTAGCAATGCATTTAATTTCCAGAGGATCTGATATTACATTACGCGATAACATTAGAAATTCTGCTATTCACTATGCTGCAGCATATAGATACCCAGAAGCAAATGTGGGGGGCCTGAGAAATAAACGCCACGAAGAAATTGAGAAAATTCATGAAACGATAAGACTCCTAATAACTTGTGGTTTAGACATCAATACCAGGAATGATAATAAACAAACTGCCTTTCATATTGCAGTGAAAAATAATGATAAATCAACAGTAGAGTTTCTTATTTCATTAGGAGTCAATGTCTATGCAAAAGACAAACATGGGATGAATGGGTTGTGCATTGCAGTGGAGAACAACTATAATGATATCATGAAAATCATTATCTCCCATTGTATTGAAAATAATTCAATCAGAGATTGTGACATAATTCCAGCATTTCGAATTGCTATAAAAAATAAAAATCTAGAAACTATCCAATTTCTCATCAAGTATGTTACTGATATTAATAAGTGCAATAATCTTGGAAGAACAGCTCTTCATTATGCAGTAACATCAAATAGCACTTCATTAGTCAAGTCCTTTGGTTTTCATGCAGCTCGCCAAAATGTAGTAACTTCAGAAGGCATTGAAATAGTCAAACTCCTTATTTCACATGGTGCAGATGTAAACATTAAAGATAAAAATGGAATAACAGCATTCCATCTATCTGCACAACAAGATAGAAAAGAAACAACAGAATATATTATATCTCATGGTGCTGACATTAATTCAAAAGACAATGAAGGACATTCGATTCTTCATTACGCCGCTGAAAATGATAACAAAGAAACTATTGAATATTTACTTTCCCTAGGATTAGATGTGAATTCAAAGGATAACAAAGGTGGAACTCCGCTTCACATCGCATCAATTAATGACAATAAAGAAATTGCTGAGTTATTACTATTGCATGAGGCTAATGTCAATGCGAAATCAAGTGATTGGTCATTTAAAAAACTTAATATGGTAGAAAAGAGATGGTCTATAGTTTCAAACACTTGTGTCAGTGATGATAATCAATATTGCATCACACCTCTTCATTGTGCAGCTAAAATTGGTTCAAAACAGCTTGTAGAATTATTTATTTCAAATGGAGCAGATATCAATTCAAAAGACACAGAATTGAATACAGCTCTTAACTATGCAGTAATTTCAAAAAACATGGAAATAATAGAATTTCTAATTTTACACGGTTCAGACATCAATGTAGCAAATAAAGATGGGAAAACTGCACTTCATGATGCTATTGAAAAATCATAGTTGGATACAAAAAACGATTATCAAGATATAGCCAAGATTCTTATTTTACATGGAGCTGATCTTAACATTATAGACAAATATGGGAAAACTGCTCTACATTATGCTGCAGAAAAACCGAACTTATTATTAATTGATCTTCTCATTTCACATGGTGCAGATATTAATGCAAAAGAAAAAGATGATAGAACATCTCTTCATATTTCATTGCAAAAGCATCAGTATAATAACTCCAATAAGCATAACGAAGAAAATTATGAAAGAAATTTATACGATATCATTGAATATCTCATTTCACACGGAGCTGATGTAAATTCAAAAGATAAAGACGGTAAAATTGCAATTCATATGGCATCAAGTCTTGGCATTTTGAGAATTGTAGAACTCATAATTTCAAATGGTACCGATATTAATGCAAAAGATAATAATGGTAAAACTGCTCTCCATTACGCTGCAGAACTTAATAGCAAAGAAATCGCCGAATTTCTTATTTCTCAAGGAGCAGACATCAATATCAAAGACAACAACAATAAAACGGTTCTTCATTATGCAGTCGAAAGAAATGAGATGGAATTTATTTCATATCTGATTTCGCACGGATTAGATGTCAATGCACGCGATAATGAAGAAAATACAGTTCTTCATATTGCAGCATCCAGAGGTAATAAAGTTGCTGCAGAAATCCTGATTTCAAATGGTGCAGTTATCAATGCCAAAAATAAAGATGGAGAAACTGCACTTCATAAAGCGGGTAACAAATCAATGATCGAATTTCTCATTTCAAAAGATGTTGATATCAATGCAAGAAATAAGAAGGGTCAAACAATAATTCATTTATCAAGCAGGTTTAATAAATCCGATTTGATACAATTCCTTTATTTACATGGTGCAGATATTCATTTGCGTGATAATAATGGAAGAACAGCCCTTCATTATGCTGCAGATTTTGGTAATTTGGAAATAATAGAATTTCTTATTTCACATGGCTTAGATGTGAATGCAAAAGATAAAGATGGAATAACACCTCTTCATTTATCATCTAAAAACACGGCAGAAATCCTTATTTCACATGGTGCAGATCTTAATTCATGCGACAATGACGGAAGAACTGTTCTTCACTTTGCAATTCAACATCATAATAATACAACCATCGATTTCGTTATTTCTCAAGGCATAGATTTGAATTCTAAAGATAAGGATGGTCTCACTCCTCTTCATTTGTCAGTACTCTATCATTTATCACAACACAATCATCAAAAAAATGCTGTTGAAACAAAGTTTTATTCTCCAACACATTTAGATTCTAATCTTGATATTGCAAAACTTTTGATATCACATGGTGCAAACATCAATGTCAAAGATAATCATGGCAAGACAGCACGTGATTACGCAGAATCCAGAAATCTTGACGATTTTATTAACATATTTGATACATGAATATTTTTACAAATTTATCTTGCAAAATGAATAAATTTTACTTATAATTTTATTACATATTTCATTTACCAAAAATGATTTTTATAACCTAAGCTCTCAATAATTCCCAGCTGATCTCTTTTATCCAAGATGAAATGCTAGAGAAGAAATAGCAGAAATTTTTGAAGTCATGATAAAAATTGAATCATTAATCTCTGCCTTGGTTTACAAATATTCAATTTTTTGTACTTAAATGTACTTTTTCTCTATGCTATAATTGATATTTTTATTGATCATATTCTATCTTTTTACTGTTTCAAAATCTAAAAAAATGTCTAGAAGAAGGCGGTAATCCCTTAAGGATAGACTTTCTGCTTTCTGATAGGAGGACTACCATTTTGTAAAGTGGTTTTTTTGACATCCTTTGCTATTGACACTTTACAAACTTTACAAAGCACTTTTGCAATACCCTTTCTTTGACAATCCTTTAAAAAAATGTTCATTTTAGTTTTAGATAAGAAATACTTAAAACAAATGATAAGTTAAATAAAAGCATCTAAAATCAGGCTTTATTCTGCAGTTACAGTATAATAATACGCTTCCTCTTCGTATGATACATCCTGCATTGAATGGAGTGATTCTCCCTCTTTACTTTCATCATTTTTGTCCTCATTTGGATCGAGTGTCATTGTTTGTTCAACATATCTTTCGACATTTTGTTCCCAAGGGTCAGCATCAACAAATTCAGCTGATTCTGGGTCACATGATATAAGTTCTTCGACTTCTGTCATATCTTCTTCCTCAATTTCTCTCTTAACAACTTCAATTGGCTCTTCATATCCTAATCTCCACTTTGCAGGGCATGTGGACTTCGGATAAAGCTTGCTTGGGTGTATTTCCTCGAATTCGTAGAGAGGGCGTGGGTTTTCGTCGATTGTTTCGCCGACAATTTGGCTAAGTGTTGGATTTAGCTCAGGATGAGCTGCTTTGAGCTGCTCGTTGTAGATATAGTCGAGTTCTTTCTGAAGTTCGTAGAAATATGGATCGTTAATATACTCATGGAAGTCAATTCTCTGTAATTCGCCATGAAGTTGCTGGGTCTCGCTAACTTCGGTGGAATCGGCTCTTGATTCGAGAACTGTGGATGGTGGTGGGGCTTCGCCATCATAGAAATCGTCAACAGTATCATGTTTGACGAATCTTTTTCCGATCTTTGTTTCGGAGTACTTTGCTTCTAATCCGAGATCGCTTAAAATGTTCTTATCATCTTGCTGGGTAGTTTGCTGGGTAGATTCTTTATCTACTGACTTGTTATTAGCAGAAGAATCCTTATGATGATGAGATTTCTTAGCTTGTGGTGCATTGTTTTCTGGAGGTGGGAGACCTCTTTCCTTTGGACGGGATTTGCTGTCATTCTTGTGAGAATGGCTTCTCTTTTGGTTGTTATTTTGAGTATCTGTGATTGTACTTGTGTTTTGAGTAAGAGTTGTGAGATCAGTAGTCGTTACAGGCAAAACGCTGACTTCTGCATATGTGAATTTAGTGTCATTATTTTGGGTATTGCGGCTAGAATGAGTATGAACATGTTTATGTGGTTTCGGAACACCATTTTCATCGAATTCTCTCGGCTTCTTAATGCGGATTCTCATTTTCTGCTTTTCCTCATTATCATTACGATGGGAATGATGTTTGCCCGTACTTTCACTCATCGATAAAAAAAAAATTTCAATTACCTGATTCAGTTATATCTCAAATCTTCTTACAAAAACGGTTTTTTCTGTAAACAAAAGTGACGTTTCTTTACATTGACAATAAACATTGGACAATACATTTTGTATTATCGACCAATATTGATAAATACCTATTCAGCTCATACCATCACATATGTTTATTAAATTAAAGCTAAAATAACTGAAAATTATATTTTTATAACAAATAAAAAATTGAATTATTCACCATCCTCCTCTTCTGATTCTTGAGAGGCAAAATAATTTTGGACTTGGACAAGTTTTTCTGAGTTAATCTTTAACTCAGGATTATTTGGCAAGTCTTCACTTATTCTAAGGACCAAATCACGGAATTCATTGCATATTGTGAATTCATCAAATAATTCAAGCAGGTATTTCATGTATTTGTTCACAATTCGGGCTGAATAAAAGTGATTGATTATTAATGAAGCACATGGCAACACAGTATCTGCAAATTCAGAATCTTTGATAGCCATATCTATAAATAAGTTAAGATACCGAGGAACTATTGTTTCTATGTTATGAGCAAGGATTACTATAGTTAAGCAGTTGATGTAAGCTATTTTTTCTTGAGTAAGTCCTTCTCTTATGCATTGTGTTGTATAATTTACAAGTTGTGGAACTAAATTAAAATAATTTTCAAAATGTGAGCAAACATGCGACCAAAAGGTTACTGTAAGAACATTAAATGACCTGAACGTTACATTTTCTGGTGGGAAAACTATACCCTCTGAAGCAGAATATTCCAAACATTCTTCTGCGAGGTCTGTTTCAAGCAATTTGCCAAGGATTGTCATGTAATCGTAAAAGTATTTGCATTCACAATCTTCTTCAGCCTCAGTTGTTGATAATTTAGCCTTAAGATAACCATATTTCAGATTAAGTAACTGAGATATATCATGTTTCAGCAACTCAAAGAAATTCCTCATTGTTTCTGGGTTATCATATAATTCATCAATATTTGATAGGGCTATCAACAAATTTACTCTTGTTTCTGCGAAATCATCTAAAGAACAGTCAACTTCGACCAATCGTGGAATATATATTTCAGCAGTTTCAATTGCCCTGTTCTGAGTGAAGATTTCGCTAAGACACATGTAAACTAATTCATACATTTTGCTCAATGTATAATTGTATTCATGGAACAAGCCAAAGCAATATTCATAGATCTTGAAATATGCTTCATTATCAAGGCATTCTTTGTAAACTTCTAGAATTGAAGATAATGAATTTAAAACTTTCTGGTAAATGCGAAGATCTACTTTGGAAATGTATGCACTTCTATTCTTATAATTAAACGATATGTAATCTTCTGAATCATTGATATTTCCATCATAAAAAATAATATCTGGAGTTGGCGACTTCGAAATCACATGATCAATGAGTTCTGGGACTTTTTTCTGCTGGGATACAGCACAAACGAAGGAAATCTGGAAAATCATTAAAGATTATCATGAAATCAAAATCTTCGAATACCCTTTCCGCAAATTGATTAAGCATACCTAATATTTCTTCATTTTCGCTGATATCTCTCTTTGAAAGAGAGAATACAAGGGAAGAAAGGGCTGTTTCAACTAATTTTTGATTTATATCTTTTAACATTGATTGTAAAATAAGTTCAATGTAATCTCTGAATTCACTATCATTCATGTCGTTTGTGCTTGTTTCCATACTGAGCAAAAAGTAAATATTTTCTGTTTGATTGTATAAATCAAGAAAATCTTGTGTATAATCAGTAACTCCCGATTGTTTGATGAGCATATACATTAGTTTTGCTATGTCATAGTTTTCTGTTTGGATAAAACTCTGAAATAGTGTTTGGAAAATTGTTGGATAGTATTGTTCAGATATGAATCTCTTATATGACTTAGCATACCTTGTTAATGCAACTATACCATTATTTTGGATATAGGGATCATCTGAAGCAATGCATTGCAAACAAATTTCAATTAAGCTTGTATCTTCTTTGTATAAAGGAATAAATGCAATAAGAAAGCTAGTAATAATCGCATTATCTTTTGATTCAACAATGCTTTTAAGCTGTGCTACAAAATCTTCATCTTGATTATTTTCTATTGCAATTGAATAAATGGAATTAATGAGATAACGAATATCTTCTGACAAAAGTTCAAATTTGTTCGAATCGCTAATGAGTCCCATTAAAAATTCCAAAATTTCCGAAAGATTTTCAAAAATATAATCTTGGATGCATTGAACATGTGTAATTGAACCAGAAATGAGGGATAAGATAAAACTGCCTCTTGAGAAGTTTTCTTCGGTCAATTTGTCTAAACAAATTTTGAGAATATTCACTTTAGTTTCATTTGGAAGATTTGGATCGATCTTGAAATAATGGCCAATAACATCAACAAAATTATTCTCGCTAAGGACTTGCAACATCTCTGGAAGAGGTTCAAGCAAATCTGCATGATCTTCGATACGTGAAAACTCTAGATAAAGTTTCATTATTTCACAACGTGCCTCAATGGAAATTTCGATTGTTAGCTCATGAAAATATTGAATTATTTGGGACAATAATTCATCTTCGGAAGAAAACATTGCAATTGTTGTGAAGAACATTGCTCCAAGTCTAATGTGCTCGTCATCTTGAATATGAACAAATTCTGTCATAATTTGGGAAAGATTTGACCATTTTTCTGAGAGACTGTTATTAAATGAGGTGTTGAATACGTGTTTTTGGAATACACCAATGATATAGATTTTCAGTTCAAGAGGAACTTCAGAATTTTGAAGGAGATTGACATCTAAGTTCAAAATCTGTTGATTTATTTCTTCTGGAAGAAGATACTTCATAAACTGGTTATTAATTATAATGAGAGCTTGTTGATGAAACCTTGTCTTGTCACTATCATTCAAGATGTTTATCAAACTTTGGAAAAGAAGAGGAAAATTGGACTCTGCTATGGAATTTATTTGGAGCTGCATGTGTGAACAACTTCGTCATCGGATAAAACAGGTTCTGAAGGATAGAAAGGAGATCAAAGTCGGACATGCACCAAAAAAATTTGAACTCTCTTCACAATTGCTCTCAAATTTGATGCATAAGAATTTGTACCGGAATATTTGTCTTAAATTAGCTTGTATAGCAGAATTTTCCAGAAATTATTAAGGAAATATGATCAATTAGAGATTCTTTAATGAGAAAGAGCATATTGAATGATTAAACAGAGATAAGAAGCAAATGGTTCATATGGCATACTAATAAGGGTCAAGAATTTATAGTTGTAATTCTAAATACATTAAATAGAAAAAATATAATCTTTATAAATGGATGTTTATAGATTGATTTTGAGAAAAAAATAACAAAATTGTTGTTTTAAGGAATAATTTCATCATTATATGATGAAAAGTGGAGGTAAAAAGTTTTTTATGAAAATACGTTGGTTTTTTTAAATTTTATAGCCATAACTTATTTGTACATCTTTGTTCAACGCCAATCGAGATAATATCTTGAACTCTACGCATATTAATATTTTCAGTCCGGAATAATGTTGATTTTTTGAAATTCGGATTCAATCTCTGGTCTTTCCATACTATGTTAATTAGTAATCTGGTATATATTTAACAATTTATAGTAATCAGTTTGATAAATTTGAAAATTTTCGAACAATTAATAAGTTTTTTCTTTAATTACTTATTGTTATTGATCTAATATTGACTAAGTAATAGGAGGTCAATAGATATGGTTGCTGTTATTATTCAGGATCGGAGTTTAATGGAGAAAGTGAAATAGAGTATTCAAAAGTTAAAAATATTTTGACAAGAAGAGTATTGATTAAATACCTAATGGTATTCTTAGCAAAATAGAAATTTTTGAATTATGGTGATAAATTTTTATTGTGCTGTCATGTTTTAAGATTTCTCTAAAAATAGGACGAGCACAAGTTGTTAGAGTTATTATTTTTATTTGTTAATTCCCATTAAAAAATTAAGAAGGCTTAGCGGTTATTGTATATCCATCGTTTTTCTGCAAATTATAGAAGTGAAATATTATTTTATGTACAGTATAGTGTTACTCTTCAATTGAATACATAGTTGACCAATTCAGTATACAAAATATTGAATACTTCGCTGTTCAAAAATTGAATTAGAATGTGCCGATATCATTTTTAGAGATGAGTGCTGAAGCTCCTGTTCTCGGTATCCTTTGCGGTGGTGGTCCAGCCCCAGGCCTTAATGGTGTTATCGCTGGCGCTACACTCTACGCCCTCAGACTTGGCTGGAAGGTCATCGGCTTCATGGAAGGTTTCAAGTACCTTTGCACAGGCGATGTCGATGTCGTAAAGGCCCACACAATCGATCTTACATACGATATCGTTTCTCGTATCCACTTCCAGGGTGGCACAATCATCCAGACATCCCGTGCTAACCCACGCAAGTCCACAGAACTCCAGGAGAACGTCCGCAAGTGCCTCCGCGCCCTCAAGGTTCGTTACTTCCTTACAATCGGTGGTGATGATACAGCATCATCTGCCGTTTCTGTTGCCCAAGGCATGGATGGCAACGAGATCTCTGTCATCTCCTGCCCAAAGACAATCGATAACGATCTTCCACTCCCATCTGACCAGTCCACATTCGGCTTCCACACAGCTCGCTCCCTTGGTATGGAAATCATCCGCAACCTCATGGTTGACTCCAAGTCTGCCCCACGTTGGTTCCTTGTCGAAGCTATGGGCCGCTCTGCTGGTCACCTTGCTCTCGGCATGGCTGAAGCTTCTGGTGCCCACCTTTGCCTCATCCCAGAAGAATTCAAGCAGGACGAAATCGAATTCGAAGATGTTGTCGAACTCGTCGAAGCTACAATCCTTAAGCGCCTTGCTTATGGAAAGAACTACGGTGTCTGCGTTCTTGCAGAAGGCCTCGTTTCCAAGATGTCCAAGAAGGCTCTCTACAGACTCTTCGGCAACCGCGAACCACCAACAGATCCACACGGCCACATCCTCCTCGATGATGCTGAACTCGCTCGTTCTCTCTCCGAGGAACTCCTCAAGCGCCTTGGCAACCTCGGCATCAGAATCACACCAAAGAAGATCGGTTACGAACTTCGTTGCGCTGATCCAGTCGCCTTCGATGCTGTCTACACACGTGAGCTCGGCTACGGTGCTATCGATGCCTTCCTCAACGGCCACTCCGCTGCCCTCATCGTTCGTGAGAACGGCCAGGTCAAGCCAGTCCAGTTCAAGGACCTCCTCGACCCAGCTACAGGCCGTGTCCGCACACGCCTTGTCGATGTTACATCACAGTCATTCAAGGTCGCTCGTGTCTACATGTGGCGCATGAGCAAGAAGGACTACGAGAACAAGGATCTCGTCGCCCGCGTCGCTGCTGCCGGCAAGATGACACCAGAGGCCTTCACAGAGAAGTTCGCTCACCTTACAGATGTTGTCGTCGAATAAACTAAATCTCTAAATTTTTTCTTGATTTCTTGATTTTTATTTGGAAATCAAGAAAAAATTAAATCCAATAATAGTTCATTTCTTTAAACAAATCTAATGTTATGTTGACTAGAATGTAAATTTTTAAAAAAATCACTAGAATGTAGAATTCTAGGAAATTGATAATAAAAAATATGACAAAAAAAAGCTAGCTTCCCGGTGATAGTGCTGACCCTTTGGGCATATTGCAACCTTCAGCCAATAATAGCACAATGTTTATGCCATTCAATATGAAATATATAAAAAATAAATTCCTCTTTTCCATTCTTCTTCTCTTATTCTTTTATTTTTAGCCTTTTCTTTCTATGCTTCTAGATTTATTGGCTTCTTATTAATTAATTTGATATTTATCAAGAGTTGACTTAAGTTGAATTTATTGTAAATTATATGATTATATGCTCGATTTCAGCTCCATGGTACGAAATAAGGCGAAAAATTATAATTCCTTTAAGCTTACAATATCTTTATGCAATTTCCCAAGTATAGGAGGAACACATATCTTTGTCACTAGATTTTGGCTAATACATGGTGAAAAATTAGAGCTTTTATATAAATTTTGTTTTGTGTTCACAATATTTTCAGAAACAGGCTTCAAAAGCATGTCAACTTCAGAGCAACCAACAGTTGAATATGAATGTGATTTCATCAATGTTAAGCCCATTGAAATATTCAAATACCCAAGTCAAGCTTCAAAAATTATTTGGAATATCAATTCCAACAATATTTTAGAAACCTCATTCCAAATTATAGATTTTATTAAAACCCACAAAATACCCATGAAAATGGCTATTTATTTGATTGATATTTTTTCACAAATTCGGGTTAAAGAAATTAATTTATTTTTAGAACTTTATATAAAGATATCTAATGAGTTTTCATGCATTCGCAAACCAGAAAATGAGAAATTAGCAGATCTATTGTGTTATAAAGGTTTCGAATTTGAAGGCTTCGAATACATAATGAAAGAAGAAGAAATTCTCAATTTATATTCAACAGATTCTCCATTATACTACATTGCCTGGGATAAAGTTGATGATCTTAAAAGTAAATTCCCAAACCTTGATATTGAACGGGGAAATGATTATACAATCACTCCACTTGAATGTGCAATTTTATATGGGTCAGAATTATGTTTTAATTTTTTGAAAAATTTAGGAGCTCAATACTCTGATAGATCAGACAAATATGCTGTTCAAGGTGGAAATAAAAACATATTTATGCAAATGATAGAAGATGGTAGAGTATTTAGTAGAATGATTAATACAGCATTGAATTATCGACACTATGAAATTGCTGAGTATCTTAAATCAAATTTTGGACAAACTCCTGATTCAATTGCAGAATGCATGTATTTTGGAAATTTTGATGTGGTATCTTATTTACTTTCTAAAGGAGAAAACATCAACAAAACATACATTACTTTTCTTTCCATAACTATCATTGTTTTATAAAATTATCTTTCTAATAATATTTATCATATTCTCTTGCTATTCCTAAATATATCAATGAATGTCCTCTTAGCATTGCAATCAAAATGGATTCAACAGAAATTGTAAGATTCTTAGTTGAGCATGGTGCTGATGTTGGCATGAAACTTATCCTCTTTCTTTTCATACTTATCATTGGTATATATAATTCTTTTTCTTTTCAAATACACCATTGTTTAATGATATTCTCTTTATTTTCATATTTATCATTGTTTTATCGCATTATTTCTCTTTTAATATTTATCACTGTTATATAATATTCTTTTTCTTTGCATACTTATCATTGGTATATATAATTCTTTTTCTTTTCAAATACACCATTGTTTTATGATATTCTCTTTCTTTTAATATTTATCATTGTTTTATCGGATCATATTTCTTTTCATGTTTATTAATGATTTAATACATTCTCTTTTATATCATATTTATCATTGTTTTATATAGTTCTCTTTCTTTTCAAATCTATCATTGTCTTATCAAGTTCTATCTTTTTTAATGAATGCCCTCTTAGCGTTGCAATCAAAATGGATTCAGCAGATATTGTAAGATTCTTAGTTGAGCACGGTGCTGATGTTAACATGAAACTAGTTCTCTTTCTTTTCATATTTATCAATGTTTTGTAAAATTCCCCTTCTTTTCATATTTTTCATTATTTTATCAAATTTCCTTTCTTTTCATATTTTTCATTATTTTATCAAATTCCCTTTCTTTCCATATTTATCATTGTTCAATACAATTCTCTTTCTTTCCATATTTATCATTGTTTTAATACATTATCTTTCTTTTCATATTTATCATTGTATTATGAAATTTTCCTTCTTTTAATAATTATCATTGTTTTATGAAATTTTACTTCTTTTTATGTTTACCAATGTTTTATCGCATTCTTTGTCTTTTAATTTCTATCATTGTCATATAATGTTCTCTCTATTTTAATGAATGCCCTCTTAGTATTGCAATCAAAGCGAATTCAATAGGTATTATCAGATTCTTAGTTGAGCGTGGTGCTGATGTTAACACAAGACTTATCCTTTTTCTTTTCGTATTTAGCACTATTTTATTACATTATCTTTCTTTTCATATATATCATTGTTTTATGTAATTCTCTTTCTCTTAATATTTATCATTGTTTCCTAGAGTTTTATTTCTTTTATTATTTATCATTGCTTTGTAACATTATCTTTATTATCATATTTATCTTTATTTTTTTATATTATCTTTATTTTAATATCTATCATTGATTTAAAGAATTATCTATTTATTCATATTGATCATATGTTTATGGCATTCTCTTTCGATTTATATTAATCATTGCTTTATTGTATTATTTCTCTTTTAATATTTATCACTGTTTCATCGCATTATATTTCTTTTCATGTTTATTAATGATTTATTACATTATCTTTTATTTCATTTTTATCATTGTAAAATTTAGTTTTCTCTGTTTTAATGAATGCCCTCTTGAAATTGCAGAAATAATGATTTCAATGGAAGTCATCAAATTCTTAGTTGCCCATGGTGCCAAGAAAATCGAATAATTTCCTATGTAACTCTGTGATAAAAAAAAGCAAAATACACAATATTTAAGAATAAACAACATAATTGTTGAACATATTCCTTATATCTAATAATAATTCTACTAAGATTGATTTGCCTAATGTAATAACAAGCATTTCTTGAAGATTTTTGTCTAATTGAATTATATTATCGAATTAAAGGTATAAAGTAAAATCAAATTATAGTTTTATATTGCAGGTTTCAAAGCTTTCCATTCTGGTATTTAACCCAATTTCGGAATTTAAAATAAATCCAGAATCTCGATTGGTTTTGGATATTATAATCATACTAAAATTATCAAATATAACTCAAGGTTTTAATGTTGAAATATAATTTCCTTATATGTTAAGCACTATGGTGCTTAAATATGGCAGGAAAAATGAAGATTAATTCATAATTAATTCAATAAGGGTATACTTATGCCCCTATGGCATAACCTTCAATTAAGTATAATAATGCTTCACGCCAGTTCTCAAAAAATTGAATTAAAATCAGATGGGCGTAAGTGCAGACTTAAGTAACTAGCAATTATATTATACATATATTATTTCCTAATGATTTTATATTAATCAAGGTCGTAGGGATATCAAACTTCTCTATGTTTTGGATAGCATCATTTGCTTTGTTTGTTCAACATAATTCTGATTCGAAGTCAAAAATTTCGATTTCGATCAGTCAAAAGTAATATTATTATATGCTTTCAACTCTCTGAGTATTCTTTTATAATACAACTGCTGAAAAATTACTTGCATCAGTTATGAATGATGATAATTTTAAAAATTGAAATTAAGAGTGCATTGCAGCCGGTTTGACAATTTCTCAATTTAAATTCAATTGGAATTTTAAGGGCTTACTTACGCCCGTATAGTGTGCAACTCAATTCTAGTCATTAAAGTTATAGTTCAAATCATGCTCCACGTCAGTTGTCAGATGGGCGTCAGTACATCCTTAAGGCGAAAATTAAAAAAATGATTTCCTTCGAGATCACGCGTATGAGTTGAAATACTTCGTAAATTTCAAAACTTTAAACTATTAAATTGATTTTCTTAATTTGGACCAAACAATAAGTAAATCTTAAGTGATAAAAGCATGGTAAAAGCGTTTAGAAATCAAACTAAAACAAAATAATATAATATATAAAAAATACCAAACATAATATCATTAATATACAGCTGAAAATGTAAATGTGATAAGTGGATTGTGGTGTTATTGTTCAATATCGTTCTGAATTTGTGTTAAAACCTTTTGAACTTTAGATAGCCATTTTCCGCTGTCATTTTTAGGAGCACTCTCGAGTCTTTTCCAAAACCAAAGCTGAATATCTTTGGCCATTAGATATAGTGCTGAATATTTTGAATTATATGTTTGTGCGTTATTCCAGATCAAATTTACGTCACTAATCCATGCAGAAAACGTATTATACTTGTTTGCAGCAAGTTTTTGTTTTACAACATCTAAGCACATTGGATTTTTGATAACTTCGTCATAATCTGGACAATTATCACGATCTGGATCGACAGGTTTCTGGAACATGATTGAAATTTTCTTATTATCTATCTCCTGCATCACTTTATTCGCAAAATCCTGTTCATCTCGTTTTAACATTTCATTTTGTCACTTTTTTATTGAAGATCTTCAAACTAAAATGGAATTTTTTGTTTTTTTAGACAGAACATCATATTTACAAGGATATAGGATTGCACATACCGAAACTACTGTAACAGTAGCGGATGTTGTAGCCAAGTTTTTAGCTCAAATAAAGCAAATTGACGCAAATCTTCAACTTGATTCGTCAAAATTAAAACTATACTTATTAGACATTTCAGATCCTTTAGATGAAAAGGATCCAGTATTGATATCCGATATGAACACACCAATATTATCACTTGGTACTGAAGAATTTGATTTAATTTTGTCAGAATATACGCCAATGCCTGATTTATATTCAGACTCAGACTCAGAAGGAGAAATTGAAACAGAATCAAAGTTTGATAAGCTAATACAGCAAGGAAAAAACTATTATGCGATCAAAGATTACCAATGCGCTTTCCAAATCTTTCTCCATGCATCGCAAACGAACAAGGACTCACCAGTACCTTACCAGTACCAGATTCGCATCTATTTAAAAGCGAAGAGATACAAAACTGCCATATCCATGGCCACGGCCAACTTAACCAAGTTTCCAGATGATCGCATCACTCTCAAACTACTTGCCAAAGCTCACCAACTCTCAGGAAACTACAATGACGCTATTATTTACTACAAAAGACTATTATTACTTCTGCCAAGGAACCAACAGACAGCAGACGATATTTCATGCAATATAGCACGTAATCTTATCGAAACAGGAGCTTACGACCAAGCAATGTCCCTTCTTCAGCCAATTGCGACGAATAATCCGACAAATCTCAAAGCGTCGATTCTTATATCGCAAACGCTTTACTACCAAGGTAGAGTTTACGACGCACTTCACACGGCCATGCAAACGTTTACAATTGACCCATTTCATAAGGCAACATGCGAATTTATCGGAAATTCGGTCAAAAACGAGATCCAAAGTCAGATCTTACGTAGTGAACTCGGCGATGGTATGAACGATCCGAAGATTTTGTTTATTATCGGTCACATTTTACATTCCCATGGATCATGTGAAGTTGCGAGGTCGTTCTTGAAGGATTCCCTTGATTTATCACCTTGCGATCCATCAATTGCCCTTATTTTCCTGGAAAATACCCTTTGCGTCAGTCAATCCGTGATTGCAACGTTAGATGCAGCAATGCCGTTCATAAATAGGGTTCTAGAGAGAAAGGACTTCTTCGCTGAGATAATACAAAAGATAGATTTCATTCATTTGTCGAATTCTTTCGTTAAAAAAGAAGAAAATGGAATTGATCAAAAAGTGACAGATAGTGAAGTTGGAAAAGTGACACAAGGTGAACCTCAAAAAGTGACACTTACTATCACCACTGAGTTTATTCCGGAAACAGAAAAAACAGAAGAAAAGAAACAAGAAGAACCAAAATCCGAAGAAAAACAAGAAGAAATTGAAAATAATTCTCTAAATCCGACAGAACAAGCACCAGAAACCCAATCAACCAGCGAGAATAATGCTGAAGAAACAGAAAAACCTGATGAAAACGACGCAAATTCAGAATCTCATGAAGAATCCCAAGAAATTATTGAAGAAGAAGACATAGAAGAGGAAGAGCAGGTACCTGAGGTTGAACAGAAGAAGGAAATAACTGTAGAAATCCAAATAACAAACGGAATTGTTCCAATTTTGTTCGGATCTAAAGAACACAACTTCCATATGGAACAACTTGACGTGTTTTGGTTCTTAATCATCCTACAGTACACGCTGTTCACGAATGGATACATAAAAACAAGTCTGGCGATTGGAGATGCAATTATTCCTCACGTAAAGGACTTTAACTTCACTAGATCAGTCATAAATGAAGAGGTCCCGACATTCGCGTTGATTTCAGCCCTTTCCAGAGCTCTTCCATCCGAAATTAACCTGAAAAAGCCAATTTACTTCCTCGGAGACTCCCATATCCTTCCTCTTTCGTTTTCTGATATCGAAATACAGGGAGAAAAGAGAACTGTGATGCCTCGTTTCGTTGATAATCTTTCGATACAAAAATTAAACGAAAGTAACCCAATTAAAAATCTTTTCTGGAAGGCTGTTGACAAAATAGAAGAGAATAGCGATGTAGTTTTGGTATTGGGACACTTTGACTGCCATGAAAGAATATTTTCCAAAATTTCAAGGGTAGAATACGATACATTTACGGATGGATTCATTCCTTTAGCAGAAAAAATATGCCAGACTGCTTTGGAAGTCTCAAATCGTCGTAAATGCAAAGTATTCGTTCATCCGGTTCCTCCAACTGGATTAGAAAGCCATCTTTACGCACAAACATTTAATGAATGCATTGCTCAGAAAATTACGGCCACAGCAAATGAAAATGTTTTCTTTTTAGATTTCTTCCAAAATTTGGTGATGACGGAAGGAAAGGATCGAAGAGTTAAGAACGAATATATCTTTGATGGTATCCATTTGAACGCTTCTTACTCAGTTCATCTACAAAATGCAATTAATTCGATATTATCGAAATCAAATCAAGTTTGATTTGACTTATTATAGAAATAAAGTTTTTTGTTTGTTAATAATTATATGTACTTCTTTGTTTTTGATTAATTTCGTAAAATAAACATAAATAAATACATTATCCAGAATCAAGCAACCATAACAATAAAATAGAATAACCATATGAATATAAATTAATTCTATAAAAGATAGGATTCCAATATTGAGGATTTGAAAATAATCTCAATAAATCTATTAAAAACTTTAAAAATTAGTAACATATAATAATAATTTTATTGACTATGAATCATTTCCATTTATATTTTGGAATCTTGCAGATGAATAATTTCTAATTTCTTCTTGTGTAACTCCATCTTGAGCCCAATAGCCACTTTCGTTTCTTTTTGCCCACTTCTGGTTCTGAGTACCGAATATTTCTTCTAAATTGCACTCCATTGGGAAATCGAAGAAGATTTCATCTGGGTCGATCAAATATTGCTTCTTTAACTGTTTCTCAAGCTGCTCACCTCTAGCCCAGTTTGGAATGGACTTTCCGTGTATCTCTATTGGATTTCTTTCATACATTTCTTCGTCATCATCGAATTCATCATCATCTTCGCAATCATCTGACATTTGATAGACTTCTGCTGGCTCTTCGATATCTTCGAATGCGAATTTGAATGACTTCTTCCTTGGTGTTGATTCTTGTTTCTTTTCTATGCACATTTCCTTCCATGCCTCTCTGAAAGAATAAGCAGATTGCGTTAATTCTTTCAAAGATCCGCCTAAAGTAAATGGAGAGTTTGGCGGTGAATCATTTTCATCATCATTATCATCTATTGAGATATCATCATCTGATGATGATGAAGCAAGTAATGAATCATCACAAACGAACCTCATTGTACTTGAGTTTAAGTTTTGTGTGGCAAAGCATGGTGAAGATTGAACAGGAAGGTGAGATCCTTGTTGAATGGTCTTGGTAGATGCTAATGAGATTTGTTCGTTATCTGTATTTTCTTTTGGAGAAACAATAATTGGAGCTGGTTTGTTTATTGACTTTCTTAATTCTCCAATTGGCTTTGGATTCTCAATTTCTTTGGAGTCTTGGGATGAATTTGAGTTTAAAGCTGAGGAAGTTGATGAAAATAAGTTTAATTGAAAAGATATTGTATTTAACCAGTCGAAATGAACTTCCTCTTGCTTCTTATAGTTATTTATTGTCATACCACAAAGATGGTTTAAATCATGCACAATGGTGTTGATTTGATCCATACTTTCTTTTATTTTTATTAGTCTAAACGTGCAGTCTCACAATTTCGAGATGAATTCAAAATATGTAATTTCTCGTGCAATTTATGTGTTAGCTTATTTCGCACTATTTTTCAAAAATGCGTTGAATGTTCTTACAAATTGTTACACGTTATACTAGATTTGATTCAAAAATTATTAAAAAGCAATAATATTTCGTATGTTGTTCATTTCTATCGTGTCAAAATACAATTATCCTGAAGATTTTAATTTTTGTGAAAAATAATGATCGATAATCGTATAATTTTATATCAACAATAGATTTGTTGGATTGTTTTAATAGCTTTTACTTATTAGAAATCCAAAATTTTATTCGGCTAATTTATTTTTTTGCCAAAATTCGAAAATGGAGGAACAAATAAAGAATGATTTAGCGATATATCTATCATGTAATCCAGATAGAGTTAAGCAAACAAAGATGCCACTTCTTGTTTATCCTGTTCCTGCTGTTGTTAATGCATTATATCTTCCAAAAGATGCTGTAGAAAGATTTAGAGTTTACGATCTCTGTTATGAGTTAGGAAAACCAGCAGAACATTTGTTGAATAACATTTATGATGAGTGCAGGAACACAGAAGATCCATTATCTCAGCTATCTGCCATTGAATTCATTCATCAACATAATATGTATCAACCAGAATTCTTCATTCAGTTATTTAAAGACTTCATGAATGATCCTCTTCTCATTCCAACCATTGCTACAGCAACAGTTCCTATGTTATTAGTCGAACCAGAAAAATACGAAGATTTTCTTAAATTCATCATTGACCACGCAACAACTGACATGAAAGATCTCCTTGGCACTCTTCCTGATATCGCTCGTAACAAATTTGGAACAAAATTATTATTAGACTCCCAAAACTTCAAAGAATTCATTAGCGAAATGCAGCATGATGTCGAACTCCGTACAATGAACTTCTACATTAGGACATTAATGATCAGAAACTTAGATGATCCTAAAAAAGTCATAGTTGAACCGAAATTGATCCTCAGATCATTGAATAACCCAGCTGTTGGACTCCGTGTTGCTTGTCTCGAACACGTAGCTGCAGCTGCGAAATACTGTTTGGACAATTTCCTCCAAGAACAAGGATTTGTTAGCGCAATGTGCGATGTAACAATGGATACAACGATTGACGAAGAGAAATCCAGGCTAAAGGCTCAGGACGCACTCGGAATCAGCCTCAAAGTCGCTGGAAGCAAGGCTCCAACGCAATTACGTAAGGAGGCAGAGCCAGAACTCATGGTCATCTAAATATACGTTTTTCATTTGTAAAATTATATCTAATAGTAGTATATGAGTGCGGGTTATGTGACTTTTTTTGAAAATGTAAGAATTCATACAATATTGAACGATTTTGTATCATTTTTTCTAACATATGAAGTAAAAAATGTATGATTCTTACGGTTTTGAATAAATCAAGATTTAAAAATATTCAAAATTGTAAGACATTTACACTCAGCTCATATATAATGAAATGAAATGAAATGAAATAACATTAATTTTTTAAAGAAGCCATATATAGATGATGTCAGATATTCCACGATTAATTAATTATTTTTGAAGAACTGAATGGAATCAATGAAGTCATAATCAAAGACCTCATAAATGAGAAAAATAAATTGAAACTAATGATTATTTGAATTTATGAAATCAATTATTTGATTCATTCGTTCTTCAATCTCTTCTATTCTTTTTGTTAAATCATCTCTTTTCATTAATGAGGTGATTCTTGATTGAGGAATAGATTTCAAACTAACCACCCCTTTTATTTTTGAAATTTTGAATCCATCAACTTTAAACATTTTATTCAATTTACATGTTGTCAATTCTTCAAATAATTTTTTATTATTAGCATAATAGTCATTAAATTCTTCAACAGATGAAAAAATTTTTATTTCAGTAATTGGTTTAACAACGTTTATTTTTTGTTGAACATTTTCACTTTCATTTATTTCTTCATCCTCTGTTTCATTTATCATTAAAATCGGTTTCATTTATCATTAAATAAAAATTAGAATATAAGTGATGAAATATATTTTTTAATTAATATTAAATCAGAAATGGCGGCAGGATTCTTTAAAAAATTATGGGATGGAATTAAGAAAGCTGCAGGTTGGGTTTATAAAAAGGTTATTAAACCCATTGCAAACTTTTTGGCACCAGTAGCGAAAACGGCAGGAACTATCATAGGTGGGGTATTAGGTACTAAAGCAGGTAATCCGGCGATGGGAGCACAAGCAGGTAACGCAATTGGTGGAATAGCTGAAGGAATACTTAATAAAATAGGAGGTAAATAGTGGAAAAATAAATATTATTTTTATCTTAGTATCGGTTGTAGTCTTTGATAAACTTTTTCTCCTTTATTTAAAATTTCTCTTATTGGGGCAGCTTTTGGTGTTATTGATTCAGCAACGTCACTAATTGCTTCTTTATTCTTAAATATCCAATTTGCTCCCTTCTTCAATGTTTCCCAAACTTTACTTGCCCCTCTTTTTACTCTATCCCACAGTTTCTTAAATATACCTGCAGCCATAGTTGATTATTTCATTAAAATTAAAAATTCATTTCCATCTTTTAATTTTGAATTTTTTATTTATTAATAAATGACGACTAACTATTTAGTGCCAAACACTAAACCAATTAATGGAAATGTGTTTCATTCATTCGAAAAGATAAATGAAATATTTGCAAAGAATGACGGTAGAAGATATTATAGAGAACTTGAAAGTTCATGCTATGACTCTGATACTCCATATTTTGATGATAAACAAACTCATTTAAGAATTACAAATCCAGCTCATGATGTGAACCAATTAGGTGACACATATATTAAACGCAAAGTTAAAGCAACTCTAGTTTCAAATAAAGCTTTCACATGTGATGCCGCTTTTAAATGCATGCGTTTATTCGTTGGTTACAAATCATCAAATCAAAGCTTTAAACAATTAGAAGTAGAAACTGAAAGAGGTGATGCCGGTTATCTTCAGATGGATTGCGCCCGTGAATCTTTCGCATTTGCAACATATAAACCAAAATCAGAAAGGAAAGTTAAAAAGTTTGTTCATTCGTTATATAATAATGTTCAAAAATATGATAACTCAGTATGTGGTAAATATATTGATCCTTCAGAAGTTTTCAAGAGAGCAAATGAAGAAGTTGATATCACTTTTGATATGATTATTCCGGTAAATGATTTGTTAGCATTTCAGGCGTTCGATGATTATCCTAAATCATTTGGTGATATCATTCTTAAATATTATGTTTTCAGGGATACTTTAGTATTTTGTCAGGTTGACCCGTTAAGAGTTGCTGATTTACAAAATTACGTTTATGAAAAGATAACTGATGAAAATTATGAAAAGATTATGAATCATGTTTATAAATATGATCGCAAATTCCAACAAATCGGACTTCCTACCAAATTAATTACAAGCTTAGCTGCTACATCTGCTGACGCAACAGTTGATGACGTTATTATTTCATGCACAAAGATGGAAATTTTAGAGGATAAATGTATTACACCAGGATACGGTTTAATTGAAGAATCAGTTAAAGCAATACCACGTTTATTCAGTAAGGAAGATCCATTCATGATTCCAGCTCAACATATTGACGTTCGTTCACTAAATGGAGGTTGCATCACTCCTGAAGGTATTAGCTCAGATTTCTCATATGCTCTTCATAATGTTACAGATGTTGTGTTAACATTTCCGAAGAATGCAATGCAAAGAACAGTTTTAGAAAATCCAATGCTTCGAGGTCTTCAGGTCACTATAGATTCCAGAAACTTCCCCGATCAAGCGATGACCACGGTGGGTGACATATTCTTTACACGTATGCTTCAAGCTTCTGATTTAGATGGAGTGAATGAATGCACGGAAGAATACGAGGACTCATTAACTAGACCATTGAATGATGATAATGGCGCGCCATTAGCTAGAACATGGAAAGACCAAACTTCATTCTTATGCACTATTCCAGTTCAACGTGATGGAGCGGGTATATTCTTTGATGGATTAGAAACTTTCAACTCACAAGTTACAGTACAAGTGAAAGCTTATCCAATCATTCAGGGTGAAAATGACACTTACTGTTCAAAGGTGACAAATCCTCCTCAGGTTTGGTTTACTAGGACTACATATTGGACATGGACACCAGACGAAGGTTTGAAATATCATCCAACAGGTACACCACCGCAGTATAGAAGTTCATATGATGAAATATTGATGAATAGAAATGTTTAAAATTATAAATTTATTTTTGATTAAATGGATTTAAATTCATCCACCCCTTATGAAGAATTAGCAGGAGTATATAATACATACATAGATGATATGATTAATGAAGCATTGAGTGATAATAGAAATGCTCTATCTAAGGAAAAATTAATGAAAATTCCATATTCTGAATGTTACTTAAATTCAATCACTGCAGCAATTGGTAAACAAAATAAAGGTAAAACATTAACGATATTAAAACAAATTATCATTATTGCTAACACTTCCCCCCATTCACATGTGTTAATTTATATCAACCGTTCAGGTTCACCTTCAGATGATACATTTGAATCTTTAAAGCATTTAATCAAAATTCCAATTATTTATTTATCACAAGAAAAAGCAGAAGATTATTTAAAAAACTTTTTAATGTATAAAGAATTATATAATACAATCAAGAAGCAAGGATTAGAGGATAAAATTATTGATAAACAACGGGATGAATTATTTGAAACACTTTCTATTTCAAATTTTGATAGAGAATTTTTGCATTCACTCATTTTTCTAGATGATGCAGTGAAATCAAAACTAATAACAAATGAGAAATCATATTTTAATCAGTTATTAACTCAATGTCGACACATTCAGTGTTCATTCTTTATGGCTGTTCAATACTTCAAAGCATTAAGCACAAACATTAAATCAAATCTATCAACACTTTTCATTTTCAGTGGGTTTAGTCGTCAACAGTTGAACGTTATGCTTTATCAAGTGAATTTACCAATGAGCATTAATGAACTTTACACACAATATCAGCAATTAGGTGAACATGGAAAAATAATAGTTGATTTAAATAAAGGAGGTGTTAAATTTGATTAACTTTTTATAATTAATTTTTATTTTTTTATTTATAATTAAACATGACAGAAATAGCAAATCTTCTACAGGTTCCATTAAAACAAGGGACAAACAAAAGGAGTGCATATAATAGAACTATGAAAGTTCCTGATGGAATGAAAGAATTAGTTCATATTGTTGCTGGTCTTCAAAAAGATGTTAAACAAATGAGAAATGTTTTAACATTACCAGAAGCTCAAGCATATGCCAAACGTCATGGTCCAAATTGGGAAGCACACGAAGCAGACATTACGGGTCCAAATGGAAAACCTGATGGTATAAATGAAGTTTTCGTTACTGATGGTCAAGGTAATATTAAAGTCATAAATGGTTATAAATTAACTGTATCTGATTATCCTAAACGTAAAGCATATAATGAATATTATCCTATGCAATTTGATGAAAATGGAAAAGCTGTTAAACAATACATTGGAGAAGGTGAAAATGGTCCAATTAATTCATACCGTCATAATCCATATTCTTATTTCAATGAAGAATTAAATGCTATTGAAGAGGGACCGGATGGATTACCACGATATTCTAACCAGTTTGATGGTCAATATGCAAATATTAGACCTGAAATTTCAGCTAAGAAATTCTTTAAAGTTGCTTTATTCGATCCGGTTTTCGCAAATGTTAAAGATGAACTTAAACGGCAATTCCAACCAATTATAGTAGCAAGAATTGCATCAGGTGCTTTATCTCAAGCATTCAAAGATTTAATTAAGAAACCATTATATCAGCAACGAGGTTTAACTTATGATTTAGTTAAGGAATCAGATAGAAGAAAATTTGAGAAATCAGTTGATTATAAGAATGCAATTAATGAATATATTCGGTCTATTAATTTCGATGAAACAGCGAAAAATCAACTTCATGAACAAATACAGGAAATAATAGATTCAAAAGTTCCAGCAAAATAAAAGTTTAAATATATTTTTTTATTCGAATATAAATGAGAAGACGTTTCACTAGTCAAAAGAACACTAACGCAAAAGCAGAGATTACGGTTGGTTATAACGTAAATGATGATAAATCACGAATTATTCAAAATGTTAAAGTTAATGTTAGCCCTGAATTAACAAGGTCAGCAACTCAACCAAATTTATTAACTCGTGACTTACCGAAAAAGGAGGAGGAGAATGAAGAAAACCATGAGAATGGAGACCCAATCATTTTATCTGAACCTGGTAAAGAACCCGTTGAAATTCCCACTTATCCAACATACCCCCCACCTCTTTCATCAAACATCGAGAACCCATATAAAATAGACATTAATTCTGAATTAATGAAAATTTACCGTGATATAATAATTAATAATTATGATTCAATAATAAATTTAATTGACCAATCTGGTTTAATTGTTTTACCTTATGAATCATTAATTCACATTATCGCCATTCTTTATGATGTTCAAGATTCAGACGTTAAGATTCAATTTTTCATAGATGATGAGGTTTCATGCTGCGGAACAGTTGCAAAAATAAATCCTATAAAGGATATTAGCACAATTAAGATAACAAAGAATGGAACAACAACTGAACTTCATTTAACATATAATGATATTTATAATAAAATAGTTGATGAATATAAAATATCACTTGAAAAATTCTTTGTTAAGGCTATTTAATATTCAAGCATTAACATTAACGAATAATAATCCTTTGAATCATAATCAATAATAATTGACCTTTCACCAGTTTCTATTGTTTGTTTTATTTCTTTTTGTTTCCCACTATCTGGATCAGTCATTGTAATTGTTTTTGTTATAGTATCAGCTTTATCTTTAACTTCAATCTTTTTTCCATCAGGATATTTAAACCAAAATTCCAAAAATTCGATATTGTCAATCTGTTCATATTTTAATCTATCAATTACATTTTTAATACCATCTGAAAATCTTATGAAATGGTCATTATATGGGTTTGATTGAACTAAATTTGAATGAAGTGAAATATAACCTGATGATGAATATGACATTGACTCATATTTTCTGAAAACACTAAAATTTATAACATGAATGAATTTCTTATTCGTTGAATTTATGAATTCTTGAGGTAATCTTATTCTAGTTTTATTTATCACTGGAAAATAACGCTTTACCATATTTTTAATCGTAATAAAAAATGTCAATTATCAATATTATTTCGAATAATAACTGTGAATTAAATTTAACAGTTAGCGGAATTTATAATGTTACTCTCGTTTCTGTGAGTGTGTAAATTTAATTCCATTCTTTTAGACCCTTCAGATTATATATCATTTATTAAAGATGACCTTGAAAAAACGTATGATATGTATATAAATAATGTGATAACGAAATGGGATATTAACATGATTTTAAGTTATTTAAATGAATCATTTATCGTATGGTATGAAGAAAATTTTAAATCAAAACCTGATAAACTTTTTGAACTTGATGAAATAATAACCTTATTAAATTCCGCTGAAAATTAAATTTTGTATCCTCATTTTCGTTCATTGTTGGGGATATTAAATTTTGAAAAAGATGTTGGGGATGTTTTGTATTCTGACACTGGTTCCAATTTCATTTTAATCAAATGTGATAAAGTTAATACCCCAATGAGATTTTCACATCAAACATTAGACCCTAACTCTTACCCATCAATACAAAATTTTATCCATCAACTTAAACATTTTCTTTATCATATCCGTTTCAATTATCCGGGAATTCATTTATTCTTCATTCAAAGATTTATCAAATATTAAATTTAGAATAACTGACCTATTTGATTGTGATTTAGAATTTATGAATGAAATATTATGGCAATTTCAAATAGAAAAAATAGCTGATGAGATAACGGATTAAAATTTTATTTTTAAATCATAATAAATGATTAAACAACAGCAACCACAGCAACTTAAGGCGCAACACCCAGGTCCTTCAACCATTACATACATATAGCATATAATTCAAAGACGGCAGAACAAACGCAAAGGTTGAAATATGGAGATTTGGAGATAGTATTGAAAAATGACCATTTCGAATTCGTTTGCAAAGGTGGTGCAGTGATATCAAATATAAAAGAAATTTTATTTATGAATTCAAAATTAAAGGTATAACGGATGATATAACATCAATTCCACCAGAAGAACAAAGATATTACGCATTAAATGCATTTCCAAAGTTTTGAAGATTGGAAGATTTAATTTAAATGAGGAATTCATAAAAGGTTTCCTTAATGACATAGAGAAGAAGGCAGATAATGAATATGTCAATGGTGAATTAAATAAGAAGGCAAATTTGGTTTATGTTAATGAAAAAGATAATGAAATTAAAGAAAGGGTTGAATGGTATCATGAATGGACATCAAAGATTTTTAAAACTAAAGCTGATACAGGATGGGTTTCAGGATGTTTAGACCTTAAAGCGGATAAAACTTATGTTAATGATGAGTTAGAGAAGAAGCAGATAATGATATGTCAACGAAATATACCAAAGTTTGATAGGAACAACAAAAAATATTGAAACTATTGTTGGTGACTTTTCTGTCAATGAAGAAAATAAATATTTTAGATGGCAGTTTGTACAGTCCTTAAAAAATGGTACACGGTGTAAACTCATTCCAAAAAATAACAATGAAATGTATGTAAGTTATAAAAAGAATGATGGCACACAAGTTAAAGTTCCATTAGACAACAACTGTTACTTAAACTTATATGGAGACGAACAAAAGAAATATTTAAGAGTTTATGAAATGGCAGATATGACATTGCCTGACCCAGCTCCAGCACCATATTATTATGACTATGGAGATGATGTCAGAACACCACATGTAGATGAACAAAAGTTAACATTATATTTAGATTATTATAGATATAAAAGATATAATGCAATAGAAAAAACGAGAATAGTATATTATTATACAGATGACAAAAATAAATATTATAGTCAAGATTTTACCTACCCTGAAAACATAAGATTATATTATAAAAAATATTCTGACACAAACCAGAAGAAACCGGAAATAGTTGCACTATATTTTAAGTTCAAAAGAGGCAATCCTATAATATCTCATATGTTTGATTTAATGAACCCAGTAGGTTCTATTTATACATCTATGGATGCAAGAGGTCCTCAAGTAATGTTTGGTGTTGGTGCATGGGAACAAATAGTCGACAGGTTTTTGTATTGTGCAAACTCTTCAAAGGAAACAGGTGGAGGTAAAACAATTTCAGGTGAAAATTTACCTGCACACAGTCACTACATAGATTTAAGTACATCTCAAGCGGGTTGGCATAAGCATAGATATTGTGATTGGTCAGGAATGACAAAAGGTAAAGGATATGATGTTAAAGACGACGTTAAGTTTGCTATAAATTGTTACTGGAGTGACACTCAGGGAGAAGGAAACCATACACATTTCGTTTCAGGATATACACAAACAACGGGACAAAGTAAAGAATACATGCCACCTTACATGACAGTTTACGCATGGTATAGAGTTCAATGAACGCTCAATGTTTGTGAAACAAACTTTAGAACGGAGTGAAAGTCCTGAGCTCCAAAAGAGTGAACGGCATAATTTAAATTTTTATTTTAGTATAAATGAAGATTCTACCATATGGTGTTATTGGAAGAGATAAAGATGGAAACCCAATATTTGATCCAAAGTTAAAATTAAAGTTACTGACAAGACAACAACTTGAAAAGTTACTGAAACCAAAACAGGATGAAAAATGAGAAAATGAGAAAGAAAAATTTAAATTATGTAATTTTATTTTTATCATAAATGACAAAATTAATTAAGCCAACTATTTCTAAATTAATGATACCAATGAAATCATTTCGTGGAGTACTTATCCCAGGTTCTTCACAATTAGCTGGGGCAAGTGTTGTGACTCAAGGTGGAACATTAGTGAATCCATTCAAATTATTAACTAAAGATGAACTTAATAAAATGATGACAAAATAACTGATAACAAAATTTTATTTCACTGCTACCATGTTACCATGTGCTACCAGGTAATTTAACTTCTTTTAAAAAATGAGACAACATGACATTTTGACAACATCACGAGAGGAAGGCAATAATGAATTATTTTTGAAGAACTGAAGGTGCTACCATGTTGTCATGTTGACGACATGACATTGTGTCAACAACACGAGAGGAAGGCAATAATGAATTATTTTTGAAGAACTGAAGGTGCTACCATGTTACCATGTGCTACCAGGTAATTTAATTTCTTTTAAAAATGAGACAACATGACATTTTGACAACATCATGAGAGGAAGGCAATAATGAATTATTTTTGAAGAACTGAAGGTGCTACCATGTTGTCATGTTGACGACATGACATTATGTCAACAACACGAGAGGAAGGCAATAATGAATTATTTTTGAAGAACTGAAGGTGCTACCATGTTACCATGTGCTACCAGGTAATTTAATTTCTTTTAAAAATGAGACAACATGACATTTTGACAACATCATGAGAGGAAGGCAATAGTGAATTATTTTTGAAGAACTGAAGGTGCTACCATGTTGTCATGTTGACGACATGACATTATGTCAACAACACGAGAGGAAGGCAA